AAAAAAAAAAAAAATCTTGAAAATTTTAGTGTATGCTTGAGCATACAAGCATACATGTATGCTACGCCACTGCGTGAAACAGTCAACATTGTTATAAATATATTTATTTAGTCAGGAAACAATATAAATGATCCCTTGCTTTTCTTTGGTCTTCATTGTTTAATTTTCATGAAAATAATCCAGCCTTCAAATTGTGTAAAGTCTGTTGGTCCATCGGATAGGGATCCATGTATAAAAATGATCAAGGAGCTGATATCCATCCAGAATTTCATAAAACTATATCTTACATAGTTTATGAGGTATCTTAATTAATTTTATATATATCTTATTTAATTTTATATATAATATATCTCATATACTATATAAGTTATATTATATAATTGAAATTTCGTTACTATAAGAGATATCTTTTATAGAAAATGAGATATATTGTATTGGATTCTTATATGTATAGCATATGAGATATCTTATATAGGATCTCATTCAATTTCTATATAAGATATCTTATATAGTATATAAGATATCTTATATATTATAAAAGACATCTCATATATCATATAAGATATTTCATATACAAACATTAAGATACATTGTATCTATATAATATATGATATCTCATGTACTATATAAGTGTAGCGGAAATGTACTGGGTTAATCGTCGACGACCAATTAGCTCAATCGGTAGAGCGTCCGTCTAGAGTTCGGAGGGTCCCGGGTTCGAACTTCGGTCTAGCCGTGCATTTTTCCTCTCCTGTTACAGTGGTGCCTGTGACCAACCCTTGTTCCAAGCATTTGGTGTATGCTTGGCAAGGGGATACCCGAAACTGGGTTGTTAATAGTTGTGCCTTCGGGGCCGAAGACTTAGATAAAGGAGGGAGGAATGTAGCGGAACTGGACTGCATGGGTCGATCGTCGGCGACCAAGTAGCTCAATCGGTAGAGCGTCCGTCTAGAGTTCGGAAGCTTCCGGGTTCGAACCCCGGTCAGGCCATGCATTTTTCCTCTCCTGTTACATGCGTTACCTTGTTTCTTATATACTTTTATGATATTCAGGATCGACATTATTCCTTGAATAAATGTTTAGTTTGCTAACCATGAAAATGTACAGCTATCAATCAATGAAAATGGCTGTAGCAACGCCGAATCGGAAGCGCTATTCGAATTATGTTGTTCATGCTACTGTACTTACCGCTCCATTCCTGCCCGTATGTCACAATCCACAGACTTCTCTCCGGCCAGCACACAGCCGGTCAGTCCCAGCAAAGCCACACAGAGAAACACTGTCCCTTTGGTCAACATTGTCAGTTTAATGGTCAGTTTCGGTCACAAATTCTCTTCTTATAGTGTCTGTCTTGGTCTGTTTCCCCCACCTTTAGTTTATGATGGTCACATATTATCTTTGATCGTCTTCTCCTTTGAAATCACTGCTATTTTATTACATAAGCCACTTATACTTCAATACAATAATTCGGGTTTTAAATTTCCCCGTAAATCCGAGATGCATGGGCCACGAAAACAACAGCTGTCTTACATATTTTTTAAAGTCAAGTTATGTCCTTCTGTATCATGCGTGGCCGCTATATCTGAACCGACAATATGTATTCGACTCAGCTCGGCCTTTAAAATAAAATATTTGTTTCCCGTCCACCAGACGATGCGCACAAAAAATAATTTTGTGATACTACCATCACACTTAGCAACGGGCTACGAGGCGATTTCCTTCTATGTAACACACATATATCACATACACACGTGATGTATTAAAATAATTACTGAAAGCTGTATATTGTGTATACTCTAAGTTGTTCTAGAGACTAAAGAGCTCTAAAAGGACAAGAAAAAATATCAACAATTCAGTAGACACTAGAGAAGCGACCTGCCTGGTAATTCAAAATTAATGTATTAAATTAATGTATTCACGGACATTGGGAAAGCATGTATATTTGTTTTCATTATTTAAGGTAAAGTCTGCGTTATGTACTGTGCCTCGTTTGATGAGAATCAAGTGTTATGCACTGTGCCTCGTTTGATGAGAATCAAGTGTTATGCGTTATCAAATTCCACGAAAACTGATAGCATCATGTTGAAATGGTAGCGCGTATATATATAATTATGTACTCTTTATTCATCAATAGACACAAATGTCTTTGTGCTTTAAATACATTGTATATACAAGGATATATGGAGTGGTACAATGCATTACATTTACATAAATATATAACAAAGTAAAACAGTGACTTTCCATACTTAAATGCAGGTTTCACGACATCAGGGCGGACGTTACTCCTGATTAAATAAGTTATTGTTCCGTTTCTCATTCGCTTTAAAAATTGAAAGCGGCAATATTTTTCAATGTACTCCTGCTCGTAGACGATATGAATTCCAGAAACTTTGGTTATTTATGCATGTGTCTTAAGTTAGAGTATAAGGTACACTCCATAAGGAAGTCATACACGTCCTCTAAAACCCCACAAAAACTACATATGGAACAGGGTTAGGCTTGTGACAACGGCCTACCTCAACACTCAAACGATGAGAAGAGACTCTAAAATTTGTTAAGGCTATAAGAAACTTTTTTATGTTGACAGATCGAGATATAGTTTATCTTCGAAATTATTAGAAAGATTAACATAAAATCTTGCTCTAGTAGAGCCAGATAATTCCCTTTGCCAATTTTGAACAAAAATATCTTTAATTCTTATTTCAATTAAATGCATAACGGCTTCCATACTACCTACAGACTGCCTGTACCTAACATATCCAAAACCATTAGTAAAAAGAAGTTCTTTTACCTCACTAGCCCAAGTTTGTTTGGAAAACTGTTCAGCGTCCTGATACAAGATGTTATATACTGATCTAACAAGCTCGTTTGTCTAATCGCATACTATCCTCAGCCAATATTTTATTATTCTACAATATCTTGTTATTTTTAATGGAAAACGAATTAGCTCACCATAAACAAAGTTATATTGTGTTGCTAGCTTTACATATAATAATCTTTACAAAACTTAAGGGTGTACACGTTCAATATCCTCAACCTAATGGAAGCCCCATACCTCACTACGGTAGCACGGGCATTACCAATTTATCAAATAAATCACATATATGTCTGGGCGATAAAAAAACAATGCCCAAACACGAAAACCTATTCACTATCTCTATTTCTCCGCCGTCATAATAAAATCTAACGTCGCTTGCGACCCGTCCGCCTTTTCTAAATATCATAACCTTAGTTTTATTTACATTCAGTTTTAATTTCCATGTGTTACAATACACTTTCAGAATGTCTAATCCGTGTTGTAATATAAATATAAATTAATTTTCTAAATCATTTATATACATAGCAATTATAAGAGAGACAGACTTTCACCTTGACGAACCCCAGTTATGCATTGAAAACTTTCTGTTGCCCCTTACAACTTAATCAAAGGCTTTTGAGAAATCAATAAAAGCACAATGTAGACTATTTTTTTAAATGAAAAAGATGGGAGATAACTCCATTTAGAATAAAGATATTATCTATAGTACTGTGACCCGTCCTAAATCCAGCCTGTGCGTCAACATAAACATTATATTTTTCGGCCCAGAAATTAAGCCTATTATTCAAAACCCTCGTAAATAATTTCCCAACTACACTCAATATAGTTATTCCCCCATAATTTGATACATCTGACAGTGATCCCTATTTATGTAAAGGAATAATATAACCCTCCGTCCATGCATCTGGAAATAATCCTTTCTTAAAAACAGAATTAAACAATAACAGCATGTATGGTAATAATACATCAACACCAGACATTAAAAATTCATCAATTATTAAATCAGGCCCAGCGCTTTTACCTGTTTTTAGCTGAGCGACTGCTTTCATTATTTTTTCTCGTCGCAATATCACAATTCAGCTCTTCAAACATGACCTGTATTTCACCCTTCACATATCGTTTAACAAAATTTACAACCTCATTTTCAGGCTCAAAAAGTGGATCATCTGGATTTGTGACAAACGAAATCATCGGCATTAATATGTGATTTCGGTAAATTTTAATAAACGCCAATATTCTCGTGCGTTGTTTTCCTTAGCTTCTCTAAAAATGTTTAATAATTGTAAAAAATCATACCATTTTTGCTCACACGCATCACTGTACCAAGGAATATTGCGGGAATTTCCACGCGTGTTATGCGCCCCAGGCGATGAAATATTATGCGACATAATAGGTGTTGCCGTTCTACATAGACCTTCATTTAAAATATTTACAGCAGTGTTTAAGTCTGTATTACTAATTTCCGTTGCATTCAATAACCGGTTAACTTCTAGAAAATTTCAACATACAATCATCTTTCTGTAAATTTTGCAAAAACACATCTTTCAGTGCAGGATTCCATTTATATTTAATTGAGTATGACGACATTTCTTTCGAAGTAATTGTGTTAAACTACAGGTTACCATATAGCCGTACATTTCAAAATATACGGCCATATGATCACTGTAAACATTTGGCAAGTCAACATAGAAGTCAACAATTGATGAGAATAATTCAGGTGTAGAAATTACATAATCAACTAGACTACATCCTCGGTCATTCGCGAAAGTTAACGATTCTATACCCGCGTCTTTTCCTACTCTACCATTCAACATACGTAAACCAGAAGACATACAGATATCAATCAACTTCAAACCATTGCTATTAACTCTCCCATTATCCAGTGAATACCGCATACGACATCAGAACATAACTATTAGCTGTCTGTATAGGTAGTTATATTGCACTACGAGGTAAATTGTAAATTCGAAGCAAATAAAACCATCTTTTTCTGTCCCATCTACGGAATTCTTTCCGGCTGTATTTCCAGGAACGCCTGCTATTAATATTTCAGAAACAGGAAACAACGAGTTATAATTAGAAATGTAATATAATCAGAAATGTACAGGCAGGTGTGCCTCAAGGCTCTGTCTTCGGGTCATCTTTGTTTAAGTTCATAGGAAGAAATAAAAAAATCACTTCTATGTCGGGTTTACTACTTTAGGGCTACCTGATCTAGCAACTAACAAAACACAACACCAACAATTGCATTTTACTAGACATATCAAATGTTTTAGGCAATAATAGTATATATTTATTTAGGTTTGATATTGTTCATGTTTTTTTCGTTTTTTTTTCTTCAAAATTAATCCTGAATATCATAACAATATTCCCTCGTAATGGTTTGCTCGGAGCTAGGGGGTTGGCCTTACAAATTTCAGTGAGGAAGTGTCGAATAATGAAATATCGGCTGATATTAATTAAGTATGACATTTGTATTCTTAAGTCAGTGTATGGAGATAGGGATGAATGTAATCACAGAAACTGAGCAAAGTCTAACATTTGTTATTGACCTCTGGGTTTGAGGAAGGTAGGTTTTATTGCTAGTACATATAGTAAATGAAAGGATGCTTTTACACTTTTTAAAGCGGCGTTTTAATGATTACTTTTTCCAGCGCTTTCCCAATTTTTTTTAAATTTTTTTATTGACATTTTAACATAGCGGTTATATTGGATAAAGTCTTTCCCAGATGCTTTCAAAATTTCGACTGTCATCGCATCAATTGTGTGTTTAATTAGGTAGATATTGTAACATCCCATGAGTAAATAAACTATGTAGTTGTTGTGATAAGGACTCAGTAGTGGGTGCATTTGATTTTGTTTTAATTTCTCCGCTTTATACAGATTAAGGACAAAAACTTATATAACTTAAATATTTGCAATCTAATCGGTAAGTTCGTTCAAGAAATCAAATACACTGTATGGTACTATTGACTTATCTTTTACACATGTTGGAAATGTGACCGACTTGTATATAGGCTAGTCCCCTGGTGTACAGGGTATTGTCTAGCTATGCTCCTTCCAGTATACAAACGATGACAATGCATGCGTACACTCCACCACTTTGTAATAATAATAAAGTTTCATAATACTTTTCATCTTCCTTTTTCTTATACATGCTTGTCTTGTACAGGAGAATGCTTTCTAATATATACATTCAATCCAATATTTTGTCTCGCAAAGGATTATATCATAACCCTATTATTTTATATGTATAAAAGTCTCCTATTCACTGTTATCATTGTGTATATCACCCCTGCAGGTGGGGGATCAGAAAAAGAATACACTTGCAGTTACCCACTGCATGTATCGTAGGAGGAAACCCCCTGCAGGATTGGGGGTTTGCTGTGGTGTCCTCTATTTTGGGAAACAAAAGCGACCAAAATAAATCTGCTGCACCCATTGCAATTATTTGGGATCTTTATCTTTCTTTTTACTTCTAACTACTTTTTATTTCCTAACGCCTGGCTTGGCAACACCTCACCTTTGGCTTGAATGTTTAGCGTTCGCCCAGGTGAGGAAGTCAATGGGTTCTATCCCCAGGCCGGGACATACCAAAGTCCTTAACAATGGTAGTTGTAAATCCCTGCTTAACGTTTAGCATTAAGGGCAATGGCAACAACTGATTCAACCGGTGTCAGTATAATGTGACCGAGCGGAATGCTGTGCTTGGTGCCTTTGTCTTGTCATTTCAGTGAGATAGCACTATAAAGTC